CACAATTTCTTAGACACTTTACCATAGCATCACTATATACATGTCTGGTGTTTTTATATACTCACTACATGTATCAGTTGATCATTTGCTCTGCAAACCAAAGATTACACTATAATATATGAGTGTTGTCCTTTTATCAGAATGGAGTAATATAACGCTAGCAACCTGATAATTGTAGGATACTCATCTGAATTTTTCATCATTGAATCATTTAGTATCACTTTTAAAATACTGAACTATCAGAAAAGCAGACATGGCGGTATAGATCATACACTGTGAATGCTGTACATTGTCAAACAACATTTACACCCTTATATATCTTCACGACGTTTGGATGCGTTTTATTTTCTTCTTTTTTTTAATGGAAATATTGCCAAAATGTCTCCCGAGAAAGGCTGATGATATCAAGGTAGCTCTGTCCAGCAGTCTCATAACTACTTCTCTTACTAATGAAATCAAAATAAAATGAGTTTTTGTGGTATTTTAAAATCTAGATTGTTTATCGAAGTGATGTCTGAAGGTAAACATGTCATGCCCTGTAGCATATTTACAATAACAAGACAAAAGTCACAAAACAAAGGTTATCTAAGTGTCAGTACGTGACCATTAGTGGCGCCATTTCACCTGTTCATGTTCTATTCTAATATAAATATTAAATAAAAGGTACTTTGTATGACATGACAACTCTATGTATCAATATACAGAAGTAATACTGATGCATGGCCATGGTAAAGTGAAGCATTACACTATTTTCTTACTATCAACTTTTTTCACCCAATGTTCCCAATTTAGCATGTATAATATACTGGATTCTCACATAAACTTCTGCTGTTGAAATTCTATGCTGGAGAGAGCAAAACAATACATCACAGCATACATGAAAAACCTCTGAACAATAAATCAATTAAAGGGACAATTTAGTGAAGTTAATATTTTTCCTAGCTACATTACAAATTCCTTCACCATAGCAAAGTCTTATATTCCTGATGAATGATTCATATCAAGACATTGAGAACAGCTGGTGTTTTTTGTAGTGTTCTTAACTGATAATCATGAAAACTTTCATTGTACAGCTCTGCTATTTTAGAAACTGTTTACTAGCATGCGAGCGTTAGCAAATATCTATATTTTGTAATAAAAATAGCATCCAAACTGAAGCAACAACATGTGATGCTTAGCGAGTAATGGTAGAAATCCTAATGTTCAACAAGTGTTTTGCATTGATGGAACAATATATGCCTGTCCCAGGGTTTTCCATAAAAGCCGGTCGCCGACCAATTTGACCGGCTACTTTGATCATTTGGCCACCTACACCAATCCAGTTCCCTAATAATGTTCCGTACACGACTACACGTACACGGCAGGCCAGCCTCCTTCTTTCACTACACAGCCTACTACTAACAAAATTATGGAAAACCCTGCTGTCCTGGCATACCCGAATGAATCAGAATAAAAAAATAACAGAAATTTAAGTGAAATTGTTGTTCAATGAAATATCTAAAAGAAAGCACACTTTGTTTTGGTTCACTACCAAAAAGCCTACACAGTTTGAAAGATATTGGTTAAAACTGACAGAGGAGACCTTTGGACAAGATCAATATTACAAAACAGAAAAGAGACAAGAACTCCAAATAATATTGAATCTATTTGCTAATCAGGAAAACGCAACTCCGTGTCCAGGTGATTTAAACCTTACACGTTCAATAGAAATCGGTATAGCAGGAAAACTCAAAACAAACAAAAGTTTATGCAGGACGGACAGTCAATGCCATACCATAATACATCCTACCAAATTTTTTGACAGAGCTATAAAAGCAGTCCCTGTAAGTTTACATTAGCTATATGTATGCATGCTCTAATTTGTTAAAGAGTTTCAAAAGGAGAAAATCTTTCTGTGAGCTTCTTTCCAGGCAGATTCAGTGTTTGAGAGATATGTTTTGCCTAATGGACTTCCACAAGAAATAAACTGACCAAAGTACATAGGCCACAAGACAGGATCAATATTTTTGGTAGCTGCCAAGTGTGAAACTAAACTGTTAATGTTTGAGTTACACCACATTTGAATGGAAATCATTAAACATCCTCACTGTATCTTTTATCAGTCACCAACAGAATATGTATTACTAACTTAAAATCAGTTTAAGCATCCTTTTTTTTACTTTTAAAAAATAAAAACTTCATATTGATTGGGAGTCAATACATGAAACACTATCCTACTAACCAGAGGCGTAGCAGTAATGTATGCTTGTATGCTTAAACATACACTCGAATTCCATTGAGATATATTTGCCCTACTTTTTTAACCTTACTGCACCCCTAGACCCCCTTAACCGGGGCTTCGCCCTTGGATCCTCTCTTGAAAGCATACACTCTTAAAAATGTTTTGCTACGCCACTGCTAACAATAATTGGTTACGATACCAAATCATGAACATCAAAACTTACCCAAATTGTCCACTTTTCTTTTCTTTCTAGAGGCCATAATCATTATCGGGAGATATTGTTACCTGTATGAATAAAAGACAACTTAAGATCAAGTTACCCTTTAATCAAAGCTAGTAATAATGAACACAAATTTACAAAATGGTTGCCATGGATTTATATAGAACTGAAATTTTTTTTATGAAACAGCAATTTTCGAGCTGAAATTTTGCCCCATTCCCAAAGTGAAGGTGTTTTTGGGTATTCCCAAATTCCTCAGAAAAGAAATAGCACCAATAAGGACATAGTTGCTGCCAGTCAAGTCTTTTTTCATTGATTCAACATGTACATCACATGACAAAAACTAGGGTAGCAAAAAGTAAAGTTCAAACCTCAGATACTCAGATAGCTAGTAGTATCTTTTGCTAAGGGGAAATTCACTATTCAAATACTTTTTCTGTTACCATGGAAACAGATATGCCAAATTACAAAGTTCAGGTTTTTTCAGACCATTTCTCTTTGATCGTTCAAGGTAATTACCTGTTACTCAAAACCATGTTGAGGTACTCTAGTAGAAGTTCTCCATTTTAATATTTAAACATTTAAAGATAACAAATAGAAATTAAACTTGTTGTAATATTAACATCTATATAAGATTGCGTGTCTTTCTTTTAAACATCAGGGCGCCATCTTGTTGTCTTTGTTTTATGCTGATTGTATCTGCATTACTTATTTACGTATTGAAACTTTATTATTTCAACTGATAAAAATCACACTTGTTGTAAGCATGCAAGGGGCTCTAACTGCGGGGGAAACCCATATCCTTTCAGGCAATCAGGCTAGCTGAAAGACAAGTGCTACAACTGTGCCACAAAACCAACCTGATCATGATGATGCATTGTTTTCTAGCAGAAGGAGATGGTGATGATTATGATGATGGATGATGATGATGATGATGATGACACATCAGTACATGTGTATGTGCCGATGTTTTGTTAAGATCTTGAGAAATAAACACAATTTTTAAAAAAATAAGCAGACGTGATCAGACAATTTAAAATGTGCATCTTGTTGACCAACTTGCGCTCGCTTTTAGGCAGTGCCTATTCCATATCATTTCTAGCAAGATATACGACTAAACGTTGAATGATTTCAATGCCTTTGTCGTTAAAAAAATTATCATACCAACCATAATGTTATTTCTGTAGCTAAAAAAGACTCACTTTTTTAATCCGATGTTAATTATGTTCCGCAGAGCTGATTACCCATGATTCCTCAAAAAAAAAAATTCGTAGCGGGAATTTTATGTTTAGCATGATGGTAGCAAAACTTATTAATTAATCAATTGCATTCTCGTTGGCTGCATTATTTTTCGTATTAGTCTTGCTAATGTAAACTCCGAAATCGCGAAATTTAAAAAAAGAAAAGAAAACCCCCGAGAATTTTGTTTTCCCGATTTACTTGCAGGGGCAGACAACTCAATTCTTACTTTATCAGAACCTCCAATTAAATTTATGCAGGCTACATAGATTTGAGATTTTTAGTCCACGCAAGCTCTCTACATCCATGATAAGACACTTTAAAACTTCTCATGTGTGAACGTATGTGTGAGTGTTTTGAACTGTTCCATTTTTTTTCCGTTAAATTAAAGTTCACTTTTCGTTATAAGTTAGCCTACTGAATGTCAACTTAACCATGGTATTGTCTATTCACAATTACAATGCTTACAATGGAGACAGTATCAGGGAGGACAACAATGTTAACATAACTGCATGGTCCTTCCATTAATTGGTGCATACTGACGCCTCAGGAGGTCTGACGTGTCCCAATCACCAACAACTGGACTTTTAAAACAGCAGTAGAGGTCATGTTGAAAATTGATTTCAATTTTCATTAAATAGAATCTATCATATATATGTTCTCATCTGATTGCTTTATTTAAAATTTCATTGTTTCTCAGGTATTGAAACATTTCAGGAGTCTGGCAAGTTTGGTAGAAAATAGTCCGATATTATTCATTTTGATAAATGAAAACCTAAATGGTCATCACAAATCTAAACGTATGCTTGGCAAAAGATTGAAACATAAAGCTGTTCAATTGACCTCTTTAATATCAGTGTTACTGATAGAGGTGCAGTGTAAAGGTACAGACCCATACAGTGCAGTACGGTAGCAACAAGTTGATGCAAAACTAATGTTAGCTGCAAGAGTTATCAAAATGTGAATCACCCTAAATCACATCAACTATCAAATTTCATGGTATGGTGCTCCCTTCGGGGGTTAGCGATGGGATGCTGATCAGACGTAATTTATTATTTTTATTGTTAAATCTCATAAAAATGAAATTAAACATGTGCTTATTTTTTTTAAAAATCAAATCTATATAAATAATGTATATTACTTACAGTTACAAAAAATTATATTACTGCTACAGAGAAGACCAGAACAAAATAACACCATTCATCACAATTACAGAATAGGATACCACCGTTTTTTCCTTCTTGTCTGATCTTCAACATATGTATAACACAAATCACCATATACTGGATCTCGTTTGCAAGTAATTTGTATAAAACATACAAGAGAATGTATGAACTCGCTGCACCACATGTTCCGCCCACGTTCCATACCAGAAATACTTTTTAGTCTTTTTCTCGGCAATTGTTACAAAAATGTCAGCACCCATGTGTTTTTGGCGTGCTGTGTACTGAGCCCTAAAAGAAACGCAAGTCCGAGTTAAGATACGTTTTTTGAAAGGAATCAAAAACAGGAACTGAATTTTAACTGATTTATTCAATAGTTTAACATTGCAATTAAACAAAATATGGCTAGATTTCATTTCATAAAATTTACAATTTCTTTTGTCTATTTAATTAAGGTATCCCATGATAGGAAAATCAAAATCAGTCGATAATGTGCGTGTTTGCCTTGGGCACTGATACAGACTGTGCAACGTTGTCTCATGGAATTGCAGAGAGTGTGGAAGAGCGCCTGAGCAAATTGGTCCATTCCTGAAAAGTCTTTGTTCCAGCTCCAACATCAACGGAGCTCCACCAGCAGCGATTCTTCTCACAATTTCATCCCACACATGTTCTATCGGTACTACATCCGGTGAATGAGTCGGCCAAGGAAGGACATTCACATTATTTTGTGCAAGAAAACCCATAGTTACTCAAGCGGTGTTGGGGTGGGCGTTGTCTTGCTGGTAAAACTGTAGTTGCGACTGTGTAGCAAACAAGAGAATGACCAAAGGCCTGAGAATGTCGTCCCTGTACGCCATTTCTGTTACACGTTGATGGCAGACATGAAGAGGTGTCCGATGGCAATAAGTGAAGGCTCCCCATACCATCACGCTGCCCCATCTATTGTTAGCCAGCAGGACACAGCAACCAGCGTAATGATCTTTATATTGACGCCAAACACACGATCTGCCGTCAGCATCGAAAAGATGGAACTGAGATCACCATGCCATGACAAAAAAGCAGTGTTGGGGATCACGAGATGAATACATTCATAATGTAAGAACTGGTCCTTTTTGTGGCCCACCCCTCCGGACTTAATTTCTTGGTTGTATCTTTAAAACAGTTGAAATCTTAACCCCATAACTATATATAATACATTCATGATGTAAGAATTGGCCCTTGGGTGTGGCACACCTCAAGGGACATGGTTTCTGGGTAATATTTTTGACATAGTTGAGACACCAACTCTATAAACATAAAAATTCTTACTGGACATCAAAAGAGAAAGACAGGAGGCAGTCAAGGTATAGAAATTTACATATTGGTCTTGTCCTAAAGTGAATGAGCTGAGGGAATTGGGAACCTGTAGCCTGTATACCAAGGCCGGGAGATCAAAGCGAGCAATACAGGCCCTATTGGCCTCTTGTTTATCATATTCATGCTGCTTGATCTATGCTTCATTGTTAAAAGCAGTCCTATTTTCTGTTTTTAAATTTTTCATTGAAAACTAATCACCATGGTGGTGCAGCATCACTAATTTTACCAAAACTGGTCAGTGCACAGTGTTCATGTTGATAATTCAAAGTATTAACACCTTTTAGAATAAAATTTTACAGCTGGATCCTGGTATGAGCTGAACTATCTGATGACCTCCTGTGGCTGCACTGGACTGGAGAATTGTGGATGCTGGTTGTAGTGAGGTATATTTTTTTACTAAGTAAGGTATGATAATTGAACAGTTCGGGACCTGAAGACACCTGTTAGAAGTTTTTTAATTTTGTTGAAGCGTTGGCATGGCATCACTGTTTTACCTGACTTGGTTGAACAAAGTGATGCTGTACTATATCATTCATAATACTAAGACCTCTGAGAATAGAATAATATTTTATAGCTGGATTCTGGGGTGAGCTGACCTCACATGGCTGTTCTGGAGCTGTTGTAGCTGATTACCTCGAAAGGATGTACTGGATTAAAGGATGGTGGCTGCTGGTGTAAGGTTTAGAGCTTGTTTTGTACACCTGGTTTTGTTGATTTGAATGGATGGAAAGTACATTTCCTCATTGGGCCTCACTCCACTTCCCTCGGGGTCCAGACCTAGGGTACTTCAAACAAATTGATGTATGTCCACTGCATTCAAGGATGCTTCTGACTACTGTAAATTTGCAGGTATAATGCACACTCGGGTATAGTGCGCAGGTACTTTTTGGGGGTCAGATTGAAAAACATGTAATTACCTTATGTAAACAAATTTAAATAATTTAATAAAATAAATCTGAGTGGTGTTTTTATCACAACTTGAAAGATGACATTACAGTGAACATGGTTATAACTTTTCAATAATTGGTCCATTTCAACTTGTTTGTTGCTCCTATAAAACCCATCAAACAAAATTTGTGCATTGAAATTAAAATTGTAAATCCAATTCAACCTTTAAGATAAAAATGCCAATATTGATTTATTCAAATTCATTAATTTTACTCAATAATTTGGTACATTGCATACAATCATAGTTCCACTGTCCTCTCTAACACCTGCACTGTTAACAGGCATGTGCTGCCCTCCTAATACCTGCACTGTTAACAGGCATGTGCTGCCCTCCTAACACCTGCACTGTTAACAGGCATGTGCTGCCCTCCTAACACCTGCACTGTTAACAGGCATGTGCTGCCCTCCTAACACCTGCACTGTTAACAGGCATGTGCTGCCCTCCTAATACCTGCACTGTTAACAGGCATGTGCTGCCCTCCTAATACCTGCACTGTTAACAGACATGTGCTGCCCTCCTAATACCTGCACTGGTATATTGGTATGACTAAAAACAGTGAACTGTGTTCTAAGTATGCTACACCTAAAAAAAAGTTATCATTGATCTTTAAGTGTTCATCATGGCAAATCCTTTCTAAATTCTGATTTCAATATGGCAAATTATTCAAAAATTGACTACAAAGTGATTTGCTTATTTGATACCTGTGTAATATCTATTTTGTATTGCCCATCTAAATCAAAGGGAGATAATAAGTATTTAAAGAGGTACTAATTCTAAAGAACATGTAAATATGTGGCTCACCCCAGGTCCAATCTCCAGTAAATACATTTTGTACAACTTTTCAATCAAAATCTTGTTTATCTATTGAATGTATTTGAAAAACACCTGTGCCACCAACGGTGGGTCAGAACTATGTTTTGTGGTTAGCACAATCTGCACCACAATGTCAAAGTAAAAAAATACATCAGAATACCATGTACATTCTTTATGTCAGTTTTTGGTAAGACATCCAATGTGCACTGTTTAGGGTCACCAAATTGTGACCTTTTATCAGGTCAAAGGTCAAGACATCCAAAGTGCTCTGTGTTTAGGTTACAAGACTGTGACCCTTCATAAGGACAAAGGTCAAATGTTATCCCAAGTGCATTGTATTTAATGTCACAAAATTGACCTTTCACCAAACCAGAGGTCAAATACTAATCCATTATCAAAACTTTAATGTATATGAAAGTAATCCTGCATACGTAAGAGATGCTGTAGTATACTGTAATGAAGCAGCAGTGCAGTCTTCTGAAACTTCTATAAAACTTCGATGTGATTGTTGATGATGCTGTTGATTATCACTGTGTATGGTTGATAAGGTTGGATGTTGTCACTATGTATGGTTGATGAGGTTGATATTATCACTGTGTATGGTTGATGAGGTTGGATGTTATCACTGTGTATGGTTGATGAGGTTGGGTGTTATCACTGTGTATGGTTAATGAGGTTTGATGTTATCACTGTGTATGGTTGATGAGGATGGATGTTATCACTGTGTATGGTTGATGATGTTGGATGTTATCACTGTGTATGGTTGATGAGGTTGGATGTTATCACTGTATATGACTGATGAGGTTGGATGTTATCACTGTGAATGGTTGATGAAGTTGGGTGTTATCACTGTGTATGGTTGATGATGTTGGATGTTATCACTGTGTATGGTTGATGAAGTTGGATGTTATCACTGTGTATGGTTGATGAGGTTGGATGTTATCACTGTGTATGGTTGATGATGTTGGATGTTATCACTGTGTATGGTTGATGAGGTTGGATGTTATCACTGTGTATGGTTGATGATGTTGGATGTTATCACTGCGAATGGTTGATGAGGTTGGATGTTATCAATGTGTATGGTTGAGGTTGGATGTTATCACTGTGTATGGTTGATGAGGTTGGATATTATCACTGTGTATGGTTGATGAGGTTGGATGTTAGCACTGTGTAAAGTTGAGGTTGGATATTATCAATGTGTATGGTTGATGAGGTTGGTATTATCACTGTGTATGGTTGATGAGGTTGGATGTTATCACTGTGTATGGTTGATGAGGTTGGTATTATCACTGTGTATGGTTGATGAGGTTGGATGTTATCACTGTGTATGGTTGATGAGGTTGGATGGTATCACTGTGTATGGCTGATGAGGTTGGATGTTATCAATGTGTATGGTTGATGATGTTGGATGTTGTCACTGTGTATGGTTGATGAAGTTGGATGTTGTCACTGTGTATGGTTGATGATGTTGGATGTTATCAATGTGTATGGTTGATGTTGGACATAGGTAACACTAGACGCTTCCATATTTAATAGCGAGACATAAAAAACAAACACAAACAAATTTAAATGTATGAGTACCTTTATCTTAACATTAACAAGCAAACAGTAGATTACATAGTACATTAACTATTGAGATTGGATTTTTAGTGACCCTTTTAAAATTAATCGCAAAACTTTAAAGTTGTAAAATTTGATATTGTTTGATATTTTAATCAATGGCTTTATGTTATCATATTAATCCAGTGTTCATAACACTGATGGCTCCATGCATTAGTAATCATGTATGAGGCTATTTATTTGCATCGGAGTACATTTGAGGCAAATAAATGTAAGTGATAATTTGAATCCTCTGTGATTTTTATTTCAAATTTCTAAGACAATGAAAAACTGAAAAAATATCAAAAAACATTGCAAACGGTATATTTTGAAGAATTCCACAAAAATTACACATGGCAAAAATATCTCTAAATACGGTCTCCAATGTTTGAGCAAAAATCGGCACATTTCCTGATTACATACATTGTATATGCTGCTTACGTTGTGAAAGAGTCATTGATATACTTGTTTGGTTTTCCAAACCACAAGCTAACACCCCTTTAACTAACTACACACATATCTCAAATATTGGATCACAGATACTTAGATTGTCTTACTTATAAATAACAGAAGCTTGTCACATCATAACGTGCGATATCATGAGGTTTTGGGTAAATATATCAAACAACAAAAGAATTAATAAAATTAAATAATGGTGATTGTGTGGAAAAAGTAAAACAAAGATGGTAATAATATGTCAACAATTAAAATAACATACAAAATCATAAGTGAATTTAATCTCATCTACATATTACACATAAATGTGTATTACATCAATGTATGCTTGGTCTCACCAATTAACCATAAAAATATCTGAACACTGGAAATTGATAAGAAAAACAGTTACAATATTCTCTTCTCACAAGTATTCGTGTCATTTTTTCATATTTTTTGTTTGCCTTGTAAATGGCATATTCATTTATAAGTATATAAACTTATAGTCTAAACACAACTAGGATTAAAAGATTGCATCCATCTTTTAGAATTCTGAAAACGGCCTTCAAACCATGTGACGCATACCATAATAGAAATCAATTACATTGTATGTAAATTGGTATTGTTGATTCAAGCTATTTAATATATATTGGAGCATATAAAGTTAAAATATATTACAAATCAAATGTTTAAACATTTGACCCAGCCTGAAAACATACCAAATATATTTGGCCATCCAGACGTGTTTTGATATACAAAGACATGAAAATATGGATGTTGCTTCAGTAGAGGTTTTGATATGGATATCATAAGGTACAGTCATGCTTTTTCACATGATAAAGCAAAACTTTGAAAACATCTAGTGCAATATGACTTGGTCCCTTGGACAGTCTGTGCTTTTAAAACCATGCGTCACGGAGACAGTTATGTTTGGGATTGTGAATCTTTAGGATACATTGAGTATAAACAAGTAATATAAAATTGGTAGCCTCATAATCTCACACAATAAATAATCAAAAACTACTTTCATCCATGATTTCAAAACCGTGTCACCATTTGCAAATTCCTGTAGCATTGTTTTGATCAATGATGTCCTAACAACAGTACAGACAAGTGAGCTATCAAATTTTCAAATCAGTCTGCCCCTTAATCAGGACACAAATATATTACATTACTTACAAAGACCATAAAACAGATACAAAGTCATAAACTAAAAATCGAGAACAGTTATGTAAATTTAGGTGTTTCGATACAAATATTGCCAGGTATATCTGACAGGACCCATTTGAAGTAGCAAGAATTTCTTGTTCATGCTGAGTGCAAGCAGGTTTGGAGTTGGCTGATCCAGTGTCGTTCTTTACTGAGGCGTTGCTGGTCATCCCAACTCCTGCAGTGGTCAATAGTGACTACCCGTACGTCATGCCACGGATGACTTGGCATGTTGAAATGTCTTGCTACAGGCAGGTCCCGGCATTTCTATTTGATGGAACACCGGTGATTGTTGATTCTGAGATTAAGTGGCATTTTGATCTCCCCTAGATACTGCAAATGACAATTTGCACACATAATCAAGTATATTACACTGGCTGGTGTGCAGGATACCGGCTGGAGGATGTGGTAGTTGACCTATAAGGACAAAGCTTGCACCTCTTACGACTGCATGTTTGAAACGGCCAGTTGCAGTAGTGTGGTAAGTTCTGGTAAGTTACCACTCACTATCAGGTCTTTGATGTTATACAGATCAACAGATATATCACCAAACACAATGGTGAGTAGAGATTAGGAGATATATCACCTTAAATACAATGGTGAGTAGAGATTAGGAGATATATCACCAAATACAATGGTGAGTAGAGATGAGATATATCACCAAATACAATGGTGAGTAGAGATGAGATATATCACCAAATACAATGGTGAGTAGAGATTAGGAGATATATCACCAAACACAATGGTGAGTAGAGATTAGCAGATATATCACCAAACACAATGGTGAGTAGAGATGAGGAGATATATCACCAAACACAATGGTGAGTAGAGATGAGGAGATATATCACCAAACACAATGGTGAGTAGAGATGAGGAGATATATCACCAAACACAATGGTGAGTGAGTAGAGATGAGATATAGAGAGATATATCACCAAACACAATGGTGAGTAGAGAGATATATCACCAAACACAATGGTGAGATATATCACCATATCACCAAACACAATGGTGAGTAGAGATTAGCAGATATATCACCAAACACAATGGTGAGTAGAGATGAGGAGATATATCACCAAATACAATGGTGAGTAGAGATTAGCAGATATATCACCAAATACAATGGTGAGTAGAGATTAGCAGATATATCACCAAATACAATGGTGAGTAGAGATGAGGAGATATAAATAACAATGGTGAGCAGATATATCACCAAACACAATGGTGAGTAGAGATGAGGAGATATATCACCAAATACAATGGTGAGTAGAGATGAGATATATCACCAAATACAATGGTGAGTAGAGATGAGGAGATATATCACCAAACACAATGGTGAGTAGAGATTAGGAGATATATCACCTTAAATACAATGGTGAGTAGAGATTAGGAGATATATAACAAAATGAGATTGTGAGTATAGAGATATATGATAAAAACAAGATAAGGAGATAATAGACGATCAAAGTACTAAAACTAGTGAACAAATATATTTGTAACTTTATAAATTAAAGGTCCAAAGTGGGGAGTGTGATTATTAATCGACTGATAATTGATTGTCAGGGTTATCTGGTACACAAAAATGTATTAACAACAAAAACAAATAGAATTTTTGTTACTGTATATATGATTGCCAACTATCCGAGTTGACTCCATCCAAAGTCAAGACAAAGCTTTTAAAAATGTACCTTAAATCATGTTAGTATGCAGAATCTGCATTACCTTGGACTATGGATTTCATTTATTAAAATCTGCTTCTTTGGTGTTTACGAAGCATATCTGCAAATCTTACGATTACTTGTCATAATTAGGATAGCCTCGCTTAATTATCTTATCAAAATGTTTAGTGAATGACCGTTTGACAGAGTGCCTACAATTTGTGGTCTGTAGACTGATCACTTGTTGAAGACGCGCCATGATTACCCATGGTATTTGCATATAGCACATCACTGCTGCTAGAGGGCACTGATAAACCGTTGGAATATTTCCACCAATCAGAGAGCTAGGAATGGTAGTAACAAATGGCTGCCTTACATTTAGACTATGAAAGCAATGGTGAGTATAGTTCAGGAGATATAAAACAAACATTAAATCAAATTAAAAGTAAAACATTCCCAAATACATAAGATACAGAATAAATAACAATATTTTAAAATAATTAAAAAAAAACAAAAGCAACATTCCACAATAAAGACCCGATGTTCAAAACAACTTACAAAATTCACATATAGCACATGTGTTTGATCATTTATCATTGTTTTTCATATGATCTGAATGACTCAACTCTACCGTTTTTCTCTAAATCATTGAAAATGTTCACTAGGACTAATGCAATATTGTTGATATCTAACTAAAACAGATATTGAATAATGCACGTAATTACACTTGTTTTGTTCAACAAAATAATACGAAAATATTTTCACAAAAAATAAACATGAGCATAATTTTTTTGATATCTTTGAATCGTCAGACAAGTCAGGAACTGTGAAACTGGTATAAGGCACTTATGTGTGTATTGATGCAGTAAAAAGGGTACAGGGAATAACATTCAACTACCACTTTTTAGGGCATCCCTAGCTGCATCCCTGAAAAAGTTTGACTAAAATGCCATTTCTGATTGACAGAGAGAGAGAGAGAATATATACATTTACATAGGACCCTACACAATTTTCCATTTTATGTGTGAAACATTGAACAAGTCTAAGAATTTCTAAGTTTATCAAACATTTATGACTTAAAATGAGAAAAAAAAACTTGTGTGGAGTTTCATAAATCACATATCAAATGAAAACATATTTAAAATCGTTTTTCTACGAGATCAATTATTCAGGAAATATTGCAGAAAATGAACATCTCCACATCAAAGTTGAAGTCATTCTAGATCTATTCTATGATATCCAATGTGTACGTATGGTGTTTCATTATCTAAGCCTGACGTCACAAAAGAATATACTGGTATTATACATTTGTAAATATCAAGGAAAGCACATGTTAATATACAATATAAAAACGTATCAAGAAAAGTCAAAATTAACCAAAAATTTTTTTTGAAAATAAATAATTAAATAAACAACATAAAATTCAGAGTAACAAGAAGTAAGACAGAAATACAGATGTGAAAAAAGATCACTTTTTAGATCACAAAATTGACACAAAGGCAAGAACTTCGCTTAAATTCACAAAAGTCATTGGGAACAGATTTTTGAACATCAGTTCCATAAACCTTCAATCTGGCTGGATCCAAATGAAGTTGAAAGAATTGTACCAATCTTAAGCTAACCTATAAAGAAATATCTGCAACCTTGAACAGTACATTAGGGTGAAAATAAAATCCAAATCAAACTTGATGTATACCTGTGAGGTTTGATTTAACCTATGGATACATGTTTTCTGTGTGATATGTACATGTCACATACATCATTGGGTGCAAACATAGGCTATAAAAAATTAAGATGGCATTTTACAAATGAACTTTGATAGTCTAGATAAAATAGTTTTAAAACAACATTCTGGTTTATACAGCATCCACTCAACACAGGACAACAGAACAGTCCAGTTTATACAGCATCCACTCAACACAGGACACCAGAACAGTCCAGTTTATACAGTATCCCGTTAACACAGGACACCAGAACAGTCCAGTTTATACAGTATCCCGTTAACACAGGACACCAGAACAGTCCAGTTTATACAGCATCCACTCAACACAGGACACCAGAACAGTCCAGTCCGTAAATATTTAATCAGCTCAGGTTTTTACATCTTATTTATACTTTTTCCATTCAAACTTGAAAAATATAATTAATAAGAGAATGAAAGGCATGTAAATTATCCCAGCATAAATGAATGGTTGCAAGTATATGTAATCATCTGCATACAAGTGATGCTTCTTGTGGTCGTCTACGCTGCACCAAATAATCAGCAATGTCCACTGTAAATAATCAATGTATATAATATATCATCTGTTGTTTATACCAATTGTTATGTTATGTTAATATAGAACAAACAATATATTGCCCACCCTGTGTTGTTTATACATAACAAACCATATATCACACACCCTGTGTTGTTTATACATAACAAACAATATATTACCCACCCTGTGTTGTTTATACATAACAAACAATATCACACACCTTGTGTTGTTTATACATAACAAACAATATCACACATCCTGTGTTGTACATTCTCTACTATGGATGGTTTATATATATTACAGACCCAGTGTGGTTAATACTTATATAACAGATGTTATTTATCCTGTATGACTTATACCCAACAGACATATTATATATACTGTATGACTTATACCCTACAGACATATTATATATACTGTATGACTTATACCCTACAGACATATATATATATACTGTATGACTTATACCCAACAGACATATTATATATATACTGTATGACTTATACCCTACAGACATATTATATATACTGTATGACTTATACCCAACAGACATATTATATATATACTGTATGACTTATACCCTACAGACATATTATATATACTGTATGACTTATACCCAACAGACATATTATATATATACTGTATGACTTATACCCTACAGACATATATATATATACTGTATGACTTATACCCAACAGACATATTATATATACTGTATGACTTATACCCTACAGACATATTATATATACTGTATGACTTATACCCAACAGACATATATATATATACTGTATGACTTATACCCTACAGACATATTATATATATATTGTATGACTTATACCCAACAGACATATTATATATACTGGATGACTTATACCCTACAGACATATTATATATACTGTATGACTTATACCCTACAGACATATATATATATACTGTATGACTTATACCCAACAGACATATTATATATATACTGTATGACTTATACCCTACAGACATATTATATATATACTGTATGACTTATACCCTACAGACATATATATACTGTATGACTTATACCCAACAGACATATATATATATACTGTATGACTTATACCCAACAGACATATTATATATATACTGTATGACTTATACCCTACAGACATATTATATATATACTGTATGACTTATACCCTACAGACATATTATATATATATACTGTATGACTTATACCCTACAGACATATTATATATACTGTATGACTTATACCCAACAGACATATTATATATATACTGTATGACTTATACCCAATAGACATATTATATATACTGTATGACTTATACCCTACAGACATATTATATATATATTGTATGACTTATACCCTACAGACATATTATATATACTGTATGACTTATACCCAACAGACATATTATATATATACCGTATGACTTATACCCTACAGACATATTATATTTATACTGTATGACTTATACCCAACAGACATATTATATATCTTGTATGACTTATACCCAACAGACATATTATATATATACTGTATGACTTATACCTTACAGACATATTATATATATACTGTATGACTTATACCCTACAGACATATTATATATATACTGTATGACTTATACCCTACAGACATATATATACTGTATGACTTAAACCCAACAGACATATTATATATATACTGTATGACTTATACCCAACAGACATATTATATATATATACTGTATGACTTACACCCATCAGACATATTATATATATACTGTATGACTTATACCCTACAGACATATTATATATATACTGTATGACTTATACCCTACAGACATATATATACTGTATGACTTACACCCAACAGACATATTATATATATACTGTATGACTTATACCCAACAGACATATTATATATATACTGTATGACTTATACCCTACAGACATATATATATATACTGTATGACTTATACCCTACAGACATATTATATATATACTGTATGACTTATACCCTACAGACATATTATATATATACTGTATGACTTATACCCAATAGACATATTATATATACTGTATGACTTATACCCAACAGACATATTATATATATACTGTATGACTTATACCCTACAGACATATTATATATACTGTATGACTTATACCCAACAGACATATATATATATACTGTATGACTTATACCCAATAGACATATTATATATACTGTATGACTTATACCCTACAGACATATTATATATATACTGTATGACTTATACCCTACAGACATATTATATATACTGTATGACTTATACCCAACAGACATATTATATATATACTGTATGACTTATACCCTACAGACATATTATATATATACTGTATGAATTATACCCAACAGACATATTATATATCTTGTATGACTTATACCCAACAGACATATTATATATATACTGTATGACTTATACCTTACAGACATATTATATATACTGTATGACTTATACCCAACAGACATATTATATATACTGTATGACTTATACCCTACAGACATATTATATATACTGTATGACTTATACCCTACAGACATATTATATATACTGTATGACTTATACCCTACAGACATATTATATATACTGTATGACTTATACCCTACAGACATATTATATATACTGTAGTAACGTTCCACCAGGTGACAAGGAAGTGTGAAAGAAGATTTGTGTGGTAGATAAATTATTTAACTAACCTAGAATGTCAAGTCAGTGCTTTATAATGATTTGTTTACACATCACTAATCTGCATATTTTTAATGATTTTATCACAACTGATAATTATGTACTATTTATAGCAGCACTACAGAGAGGTAAATGATTTTGCCTTTTCTGATTGGTTAATGCTAGGAACTACACCGCTTTCCCAAGCTCGGGTCATCAATTCGTAAATAAAATGGGCCAAGCTTGATTTGTTTGAAACAGGTTCACATTTGACATATTTACTGTTAAGCTTGAAATACTTAAAAATGTGGTATATAAAGAACATGTAAATAAGTTATTTAGAATGGAACTTCAACATCGCTAACAGTAATTAAATAAACTTCAAAGTAGTTCCCTCGATACTAAAAGAACCTCGCTCCAAAGACTGTAGCAATAGGCTGACACTGTAATATGTTGGCTTTAGCCTTAAAAGAGGTGTTTCAATAAAACATGATATTAACCACAAACTGACATAATAGACATGACAGGAAATTGAACATATCTGTTAAATATAAACCACACTCAGGTATGTTTGTCACATAAAAACCATGCAGAAATGCAAGAGTATTGTTTATAGGTGATAAATGTTACTGTAATGTTTTATAAACCTGTAATCGTGTAAACCTGAGTGGTGGACATGCTTCTTAAACACTTACCCAACAAAACAGCAAGGCAGCTAAACCTCCAAAAAAAACCTCCATATGCTGAAAATGAAAAAAAGTAAATAAGAATCAAGATGAGGATGTACCTTAGACAAGAAACCCATTTGGCCTGGACAGTCACCTGAGTTCATGGAGCAATGGGTTCAAATACCTGTGACTTTAAACAGAGAAAATGTCAATCACATTAACAAAATTGGTAACCCTTCATTTCAGCATGCTACAGGATGTTTATCAGCACTCTGGACCTTTTGGTTATTGAGAAGAAGTCATTCAAAGACACATTTGATCCCATGCGACCTTGAAAATGGGTCAAGGTCATTAATTTTATCAAACATGCTATGGGCCCAATATCAGCACCTTGGGTCTTTTGGTTAATTAAAAGAAGTTGTTCAAATATTTTGACATATTTGACACCTGTGACCTTGAAAGTGGGTCAGGGTTAATCATGTGAACAAACGTAGCCATTCATCACAGCAGGCGATAGGGCCAATATCAGCCCCATGGACTTTTTGGTTATGGAGATGAAGTTGTTAAAAGATTTTGACATATATGATACCAGTGACCTTGAAAGTGAGTCAGGGTAATTCATTTTAACAAACATTGTAGTGCTTTAACCCAGCATGCTGCAAGCCCATTATCAACACACTGGGCATTTTGGTTATTAATAAGTCTTTAAAAAATTTTGACATATTTGAATGAGGGTCAAGGTCAATAATGTGACCAAACTTGGTAGCCTTTCATGTCTCCATGCTACCAGCACCCTGGGATGTCTGGTTATTGAGAAGTCATTTGAATGGAAAGTTTATTCATGGTGGATGCTGCAGGGTAATGGACAAAACCTGATTCTAGTCAAAAGTAAGAATTAATTGAAGTTACTCTAGATATAGGCTAAAATCATCTTATAGTTGCTCAAGCTACCTATGGCCATGTTGGGTGGTGGCTTCCCTTTCAAATCAGATTTAAAAAGAAAGGAAACAAGAGGCCCATCGGTCTTAACGGTCATCTGACATAAAATACAAGATTTCAAATTTTGAACTCGAGAAGAAGCCGAAATTGTGTTTTCAAGATGGCGGCCAAGGTGGCCATGTTGGATTTTTAGATCAACCCTAAATTACCAAACTTTGGTCAGGATTACGTCACAATCATTTCAGGTAAGTTTAAGCACAATGAGACATGTAGAACTTGAGAAGAAGTTGAAAATGTTTACGACGGACGATGTACGACGCCGGACAAAAGAACATTTGTAAATAAATATAGGCATGACCTTTGTGGTAGTGTCTTATTCGGTAAAAAAGATGGTCTCATTGCTGAAGTAATACTTTGATGTCATACGTCATGTGATGTCAAAGGGTTGCATTCAAACTATGCATAATTACCACACTAAGCTAAATGGGACTGGGCCCTCCTTCATGGTGGTCTGTGTGCTGAGAGAGATGGGATACTGTTACTATATACATTATTGCATCATTTAGATTAAAATAGGACAAATTGAAAAATTGTGGCCATAACACTTTAATGTACCGCGAAATTGTGAAATATCTTCCATGCGAAAATAACTAGCTATATCGTAGTACAGAGGATTTCAGATAGTCTCCTTCTCCAACTTACCGCACCAAATGAAGGTAGAGCGATTCCAAGAGCTGCACTCACTACTATGAAAGTGAACAACATTCCAGATATCAAAGTAAAGGTAATCTAAAAGAGAAAATAAGGATAAACTTAATCACAAGGTAAATTCATCAATTTAATTAAATCTTCTAAAGCAGGGACAAGCTATATATATGATACATTACAGTCTTCCATTATTGCTATGCCACTTAATGTTTGATATGAGATAAATTTTCGACTGATGGCTAACATATTGACCAAATTATAATAGACCTGATAATCAAGAGATTTATACAGGACAAACTGACAGCTAATACTCACATTCAGAAATTAATACAGGACAAACTGACAGCACACTCTCATCATCAGATATTTATACAGGACAAACTGACAGCATACTCTCATCATCAGATAGTTATACAGGACAAACTGACAGCACACTCTCATCATCAGAGATTTATACAGGACAAACTGAAAACACACTCTCATCATCAGATAGTTATACAGGACAAACTGACAGCACACTTTCATCATCAAATATTTATACAGGACAAACTGACAGCATACTCTCACTATCAGAGATTTATACAGGACAAACTGACAGCACACTCTCATCATCAGATAGTTATACAGGACAAACTGACAGCACACTCTCATCATCAGATATTTATACAGGACAAACTGACAGCACACTCTCATCATCACATATTTATACAGGACAAACTGACAGCACACTCTCATCATCAGATTTATACAGGACAAACAGACAGCACACTCTCATCATCAGATTTATACAGGACAAACTGACAGCACACCCTCATCATCAGATTTATACAGGACAAACTGACAGCACACTCTCATGATCAGATTTATACAGGACAAACAGACAGCACACTCTCATCATCACATATTTATACAGGACAAACTGACAGTACACTCTCACTATCAGAGATTTATACAAACTGGCACAAACTGACAAAGACATCACACTCTCACTCTCACTATCAGAGATTTATACAGGACAAACTGACAGTACACTCTCACTATCAGAGATTTATACAGGACAAACTGACATCACACTCTCACTATCAGAGATTTATACAGGACAAACTGACATCACACTCTCATCATCAGATTTATACAGGACAAACTGACAGCACACTCTCATGATCAGATTTATACAGGACAAACAGACAGCACACTCTCATCATCACATATTTATACAGGACAAACTGACAGTACACTCTCACTATCAGAGATTTATACAGGACAAACTGACAGCACACTCTCACTATCAGAGATTTATACAGGACAAACTGACATCACACTCTCACTATCAGAGATTTATACAGGACAAACTGACATCACACTCTCATCATCAGAGATTTATACAGGACAAACTGACATCACACTCTCATCATCACATATTTATACAGGACAAACTGACATCACACTCTCACTATCAGAGATTTATACAGGACAAACTGACATCACACTCTCATCATCACATATTTATACAGGACAAACTGGCAGCATACTCTAACCATCAGAGACGTACAACGCCAGATGGGACTTTGTCTCAGGTGACCTAATAAAAATCTTAATGTTTTAATTTACATATCAGAGTCCTATGTAACCGTCTTCAAAACTTGTATAATTACCTTTTTCTGCCAGATGAAGAACTGCAGAAATACACTATGGATGGCAACAATTCCGACAGAAACCAGGGGACCAATGCTTCCACTGGCGCTAGATATAAAAGTGAAAGACCTACTTACTAAGGTGTACGGTTCGTGATCAAAGAAAGTGTACAAAAATCGACACTTTAAAATATTCAATTTTTGGCTAGTGACTCACTGATATATCACTGGCAGACAAGAGAACTGTATGTTATGTTATCGTTCTGCACCAAATAAAGGGAGACTTTGTTGTAAAAACAAAGGTGTGTAACTTTCAAGTTCTTTCTTAACTTTATACTCCTTCATTGCAGTATGATAAATATGTGAGAATCTATTTGAAACATAACAAATTGTTCTTTAGCCAGTTAAATATAACATGTTTGGGCCTCTTGGTTAGTCAGAAATTTTTTTTTAGAGATTTTTGACTCGTACAATTTTGATATACTGACCTGGCTAGTGTCATTATACCCAGGGTGATAATCATAGTCTGAAACAAACAAAATTAAAAACAGATGTAATTATACTAATGTCAGCTAGTTCATAACCAACCCTAAATCAATACACCTCAGAGAACAATATATTGTACTAAACAAGGAACCTCAGAGAACAATATATTGTACTAAACAAGTAACCTCAGACAGATTGAGGAACAATATATTGTACTAAACAAGTAACCTCAGAGAACAATATATTGTGCTAAACAAGGAACCTCAGAGAGATTGAGGAACAATATATTGTACTAAACAAGGAACCTCAGAGAACAATATATTGTACTAAACAAGGAACCTCAGAGAACAATATATTGTACTAAACAAGGAACCTCAGAGAACAATATATTGTACTAAACAAGTAACCTCAGAGAGATTGGGGAACAATATATTGTACTAAACAAGTAACCTCAGAGATATTGGGGAACAATATATTGTACTAAACAAGTAACCTCAGACAGATTGAGGAACAATATATTGTACTAAACAAGGAACCTCAGAGAACAATATATTGTACTAAACAAGTAACCTCAGAGAGATTGGGGAACAATATATTGTACTAAACAAGTAACCTCAGACAGATTGAGGAACAATATATTGTACTAAACAAGTAACCTCAGAGAGATTGAGGAACAATATATTGTACTAAACAAGTAACCTCAGACAGATTGGGGAACAATATATTGTACTAAACAAGGAACCTCAGAGAACAATATATTGTACTAAACAAGGAACCTCAGAGAACAATATATTGTACTAAACAAGTAATCTCAGACAGATTGAGGAACAATATATTGTACTAAACAAGTAACCTCAGAACAATATATTGTACTAAACAAGTAACCTCAGAGATTGAGGAACAATATATTGTACTAAACAAGTAACCTCAGAGAGATTGAGGAACAATATATTGTACTAAACAAGTAACCTCAGACAGATTGAGGAACAATATATTGTACTAAACAAGGAACCTCAGAGAACAATATATTGTACTAAACAAGTAACCTCAGAGAGATTGGGGAACAATATATTGTACTAAACAAGTAACCTCAGACAGATTGAGGAACAATATATTGTACTAAACAAGTAACCTCAGACAGATTGGGGAACAATATATTGTACTAAACAAGTAACCTCAGACAGATTGAGGAACAATATATTGTACTAAACAAGTAACCTCAGACGGATTGAGGAACAATATATTGTACTGAACAAAGAACCTCAGAGAACAATATATTGTACTAAACAAGTAACCTCAGAGAACAATATATTGTACTAAACAAGTAACCTCAGACAGATTGAGGAACAATATATTGTACTAAACAAGTAACCTCAGAGAGATTGAGGAACAATATATTGTACTAAACAAGTAACCTCAGACAGATTGAGGAACAATATATTGTACTAAACAAGTAACCTCAGAGAACAATATATTGTACTAAACAAGTAACCTCAGAGAGATTGGGGAACAATATATTGTACTAAACAAGTAACCTCAGACAGATTGAGGAACAATATATTGTACTAAACAAGTAACCTCAGAGATATTGGGGAACAATATATTGTACTAAACAAGTAACCTCAGACAGATTGAGGAACAATATATTGTACTAAACAAGTAACCTCAGACAGATTGAGGAACAATATATTGTACTAAACAAGTAACCTCAGACTAAACAAGTAACCTCAGACAGATTGAGGAACAATATATTGTACTAAACAAGTAACCTCAGACGGATTGAGGAACAATATATTGTACTAAACTAGTAACCTCAGACAGATTGAGGAACAATATATTGTACTAAACAAGTAACCTCAGAGAACAATATATTGCACTAAACAAGTAACCTCAGACAGATTGAGGAACAATATATTGTACTAAACAAGTAACCTCAGACAGATTGAGGAACAATATATTGTACTAAACAAGTAACCTCAGAGAGATTGAGGAACAATATATTGTACTAAACCTCAGACAGATTGGGGAACAATATATTGTACTAAACTAGTAACCTCAGAGATATTGGGGAACAATATATTGTACTAAACAAGTAACCTCAGAGAGATTGAGGAACAACATATTGTACTGAACAAAGAACCTCAGACAGATTGGGGAACAATATATTGTACTAAACTAGTAACCTCAGAGATATTGGGGAACAATATATTGTACTAAACAAGTAACCTCAGAGAACAATATATTGTACTAAACAAGTAACCTCAGAGAACAATATATTGTACTAAACAAGTAACCTCAGAGATATTGGGGAACAATATATTGTACTAAACAAGTAACCTCAGAGATATTGGGGAACAATATATTGTACTAAACAAGTAACCTCAGAGAACAATATATTGTACTAAACAAGTAACCTCAGAGAACAATATATTGTACTAAACAAGTAACCTCAGAGATATTGGGGAACAATATATTGTACTAAACTAGTAACCTCAGAGATATTGGGGAACAATATATTGTACTAAACAAGTAACCTCAGAGAACAATATATTGTACTAAACAAGTAACCTCAGAGAACAATATATTGTACTAAACAAGTAACCTCAGAGAGATTGGGGAACAATATATTGTACTAAACAAGTAACCTCAGACAGATTGGGGAACAATATATTGTACTAAACAAGTAACCTCAGAGATATTGGGGAACAATATATTGTACTAAACAAGTAACCTCAGAGAACAATATATTGTACTAAACAAGTAACCTCAGAGAACAATATATTGTACTAAACAAGTAACCTCAGAGATATTGGGGAACAATATATTGTACTAAACAAGTAACCTCAGAGAGATTGGGGAACAATATATTGTACTAAACAAGTAACCTCAGAGATATTGGGGAACAATATATTGTACTAAACAAGTAACCTCAGAGAACAATATATTGTACTGAACAAAGTAACCTCAGAGAACAATATATTGTACTAAACAAGTAACCTCAGAGATATTGGGGAACAATATATTGTACTAAACAAGTAACCTCAGAGAACAATATATTGTACTAAACAAGTAACCTCAGAGAACAATATATTGTACTAAACAAGTAACCTCAGACAGATTGGGGAACAACATATTGTACTCCAACACTGAGAACCTGCTGCACTGAACAGTGAACTAAGACAGAACAGTATATAACATATTGTACTCCAACATGAAGTGCACACTTACCATTAAAACAAGGAAGATTACAGAGAAGATCTTTGATTTTTTCCTTGGTTCAGCAGTGATCCATGTAAAGATTAGTATACCAATCAATAATCCACTGTTTAATAAAAAAAGAAATTTCAATTACAGAAAAAAAAACATAATCAAATATCTGTTTCATATTTCATAACCTTTCATTTCATTCTTAATTTACATATAATTGAAACTAGAGGCCAAATGGCCTTAAAGTTACCAGAATTCTACAAAAAAATATTGTATGTGTTATTGTAACATGTCATGGAAACCATTTTGTTAAAAAAAATTTGAACACAAGTGAAAAGCACCATTCCATACAAATTAAGAGTTAGATACAGTAGAGACAAACAATGAAATAAACTGCATCATACAGCTGTTTTGTCCTTCTACGACTTGTCATTATGGTTAACGGCCTGTATTTTGAAGCCTTAGAGGCGAACGAGGAAAATCCCAAGTGATCAAAAGAAAAGTCCAAATCCTGATGGGGAGGTGCAGCAGCCGCGTAATTCAATAAATTTTGTAACAAAGTATGATAAAATGAAGTATACTGCATATCATAGATTGTGTTTTTGCTATAACTGCCTTTGAGAGAAAATTGGCATTTCAGAAGGACCACAATTATATCATCCTTCAGCTGAAACCTGTCAAAAACAATAAAATAGACCTTACAAGTATACTGATTCCGAAATAATGATCATCTGATTCTAATATATGTACAACTGAGGGAAAGAACTGTCAGGTTTCATGTGTATAATGTTAAAACTACAATCTTAATATTCTAAATCAAGAATGATTCTCAAAGAAGACTAAACAAGTAATCCTTAAAAATGTAATATGAATATAAAAACTAAAGTCAACTTCATCTTCTCAATTTTGTCATGGCTGCCCAAAGAAAAACACTTTACTCCATCCCTTAGTAGCAGAAATATGAAATATTATACCTTATTTAATTTGAGAAAGCTAAGCTATAAAAAAATATCCCTTTTATATCTCCTACATGTGATTCTGAATGGATCAGTGAATACGTACATGCTCAGATCTTTAAAGGTCGAAATTTCTTGTATTCTTCCTCGGACATATTCACTGCAAATGAAAACCAATGGAAAAATTAGATATATGTCCCTTACACTCTAATCCCTCAAGATTTCATTTGACTCGGTAAGAGTGGGGGACTCATTTGATACGTAATTACACAACAACACATAATTACACAAAAAAATTGACAAACATTACACATCAAACTATATAACATTATCAAACTACATAACCACATCACACTAAATAACTACATCACTGACCATGTCCTAGCGATGGCATTTCATGTCCCAGTAATAATATTCTGACTATGTGTAAGTAATAGCATTCTGACTATGTCCCAGTAATAACATTCTGACTCTGTCCCAGTAATAACATTCTATGTCCCAGTAATAACATTCTGACACTGTCCCAGTAATAACATTCTATGTCCCAGTAACATTCTGACACTGTCCCAGAAATAACATTCTGACTATGTCCCAGAAATAACATTCTATGTCCCAGTAATAACATTCTGACACTGTCCCAGTAATAACATTCTGACACTGTCCCAGTAATAACATTCTGACACTGTCCCAGTAATAACATTCTGACTATGTCCCAGTAATAACATTCTGACTATGTCCCAGTAATAACATTCTGACTATGTCCCAGTAATAACATTCTGACTTTGTCCCAGTAATAACATTCTATGTCCCAGTAATAACATTCTATGTCCCAGTAATAACATTCTGACTATGTCCCAGTAATAACATTCTGACTATGTCCCAGTAATAACATTCTGACTTTGTCCCAGTAATAACATTCTGACACTGTCCCAGTAATAACATTCTGACACTGTCCCAGTAATAACATTCTGACTATGTCCCAGTAATAACATTCTGACTGTGTCCCAGTAATAACATTCTGACACTGTCCCAGTAATAACATTCTGACACTGTCCCAGTAATAACATTCTGACACTGTCCCAGTAATAACATTCTGACTATGTCCCAGTAATAACATTCTGACACTGTCCCAGTAATAACATTCTGACTATGTCCCAGTAATAACATTCTGACTAAGTCCCAGTAATAACATTCTGACTATGTCCCAGTAATAACAGTCTGACTATGTCCCAGTAATAACATTCTGACACTGTCCCAGTAATAACATTCTGACACTGTCCCAGTAATAACATTCTGACTATGTCCCAGTAATAACATTCTGATTATGTCCCAGTAATAGCATTCTGACTATGTCCCAGTAATAACATTCTGATTATGTCCCAGTAATAACATTCTGACTATGTCCCAGTAATAACATTCTATGTCCCAGTAATAACATTCTGACTACATCAGTAATTACATCCTAACTACCACCAGTTATAACATCCTAACTATCACCAGTAATTACATCCTAACTATCACCAGTAATTACATCCTAACTATCACCAGTTATAGCATCCTAACTATCACCAGTAATTACATCCTAACTATCACCAGTTATAACATCCTAACTATCACCAGTAATTATATCCTAACTATCACCAGTTATTACATCCTAACTATCACCAGTAATTACATCCTAACTATCACCAGTTATAACATCCTAACTATCACCAGTAATTACATCCTAACTATCACCAGTTATTACATCCTAACTATCACCAGTAATTACATCCTAACTATCACCAGTTATAACATCCTAACTATAGTAATTACATCCTAACTATCACCAGTTATAACATCCTAACTATCACCTAACTATCACCCAGTTATTACATCCTAACTATCACCAGTTACAACAATCCAAACTATCACCAGTAATTACATCCTAACTATCACCAGTAATTACATCCTAACTATCACCAGTTATAACATCATAACTATCACCAGTAATTACATCATAACTATCACCAGTTATTACATCCTAACTATCACCAGTTACAACAATCCAAACTATCACCAGTAATTACATCCTAACTACCAGTAATTACATCCTAACTATCACCAGTTATAACATCCTAACTATCACCAGTAATTACATCATAACTATCACCAGTTATTACATCCTAACTATCACCAGTTACAACAATCCAAACTATCACCAGTTATTACATCCTAACTATCACCAGTAATTACATCCTAACTATCACCAGTTACAACAATCCTAACTATCACCAGTAATTACATCCTAACTTTCACCAGTAATTACATCCTAACTATCACCAGTAAATACATCCTAACTATCACCAGTTATAACATCCTAACTATCACCAGTTATAAAATCCTAACTATCACCAGTTATAACATCCTAACTATCACCAGTTATTACATCCTAACTATCACCAGTTACAACAATCCTAACTATCACCAGTAATTACATCCTAACTATCACCAGTAATTACATCCTAACTATCACCAGTTATAACAATCCTAACTATCACCAGTAATTACATCCTAACTATCACCAGTAATAACATCCTAACTATCACCAGTTATAACATCCTAACTATCACCAGTAATTACATCCTAACTATCACCAGTTATAACATCCTAACTATCACCAGTAATTACATCCTAATTCCACTTGTCAGACAGTAGAAGAGATGCTTTATTTTACTTACTTGCTATAGATTCCTCCTGCAACAGCTAGTGCACACAGTGCTTGTATCAGTAGAATCAGGTACAACTGTAATATAGTATACTGCCATCTTTGACCAACAAATCCTCTAAGTGAATTACTTAAATTTACCAGCAGACCTGATTCACCCTTTTGCCCATAAACCCCTTCAATTAAAGAAGCTTCGAACCAAGTTGGGACAAAATCCTGTCACCTGTACAGAAGAACTTGTTTTATCTCCCCTATTGGGCCCTGCTCCTCTTTCCCTAAGACCCTAAAATTGCACAAAATCAGTTCCAAGATCATCAAGGATGCTTTCGGCAACCAAATTTAGACAAAATCCTGTTAATCATACAAAAGTAGGATTTAGAAAATTTGCAATATAAATTTGTCATCTTGAGCCCTGCCCCTCTGGCCACAGGGGGTCTATACCCTCCATTGATACAAAACTGATTTTCCTTCCCCCAATGGATGCTTTAGAACACAGTTTTTAAAATCCACCATTGCATGAGTCAACCATGGCTAGTAGCAATCTTAAGAAAAAACGTTGACAGCCAAATGCCAGACACCACATCACAGCATAAGTGTACCAATCCTTGGGACCAAGTGAGCTAAAAATTCTACATTAAGAAGGCTGGATTCTGCAAATTTTGAAAGTTTGAAAATAGCCAACCACTGAACATGTCTTGTCATTACAATCTTACAAAACGAAAGATAATTTTGCAGTTCCTATCAGTTGATAAAGATACTGCATGCAGACAGAACATTACAAACCATTTAAATATGACCCACACATTAAGTTCTTAACAATATAAGTTCAAGAATATGAAATGAGTAATATAAAATGAAAAAGTATGAATTCCATAGCTGATAAAAAGGGATTCCTTGAGATTGAATCACTTGCCTGTCCTCCAGGTTAAAAGGAAGACTTCTTTGATTTTTCAAGTTCATTCCCCAAGCAAGTTACAATACAAATACTACTAATAATAAGCCCACCCCCTACTCTTGACTCAATTTCATGCACAGCAGACCCCCTGGGCTTATTGGCGGAGAAATACGGTATGAGCCAGATTCTATTGGCAATTGACAACTGAAAAATGTTTGAGTTCTTAAAACCTTTGAATGCTATTACCTGTAAAATTGTGTTCAGGTCATTGATCTGAGCAAACTTGAACACCTTCATTCCAGCACACAGCTAACCAAATATAATTACCCTGGGCCTCTTATTTATTGAAAATTCATTTGAAGGTTTTAACACCTGTGGCCTCGAAGTTGGGTTAAGGTCATCCATTTGAACAAACTTGGAAGGCCTTTAAGAAGCATGCTACTGCTCCAATATCCAGATCAATGACATCATTTTTTCGTAATTTAGAAGAAGCAGTTGTGACCTTGAAAGTGGGTCAAGGTCGATTATTTTTAACAATATTTGAAGCCCTTCATCTCAACATGTTATTGCCCAAATATCAGTAAGCTCAGTGAACTCTTGATTGATGAGAAAATTTGTCAAATGGAAAAAAATGAAGCCAGTTAATGGACAGACGGACAGACAGATGGAACATTATGGCATAAGCTCACAGCTGAACAGTGAGCCAAAACTTCTACAGACGAAAGAAAAAGGCTTAATGAAACTCACATAGTGGAAAAAGTTGTAAAGATGTTCTTTCTTATCCAAAGATGGCCTGGGCACATTATTATTCTGCCTTTGATTCTGTTGCCTGTTCTGGTTCTGTTGCTGTCTCTGAGTGGGGGCTGGATTTGAAGCAGGAGTTGGGTTAGACCTTGGGGTTGGGTTTGCAGCAGGTTTGGGAGTAAAGTTTGGGGTACTTGGTTTTGGAGGAATCGGAGATCTGGATGGAGAAGGTGGCCTAATGACAAAGATTTGAGGTTCAGCTGAAGATCCTGTAGCAGATGCTCCGCTTGATAAGGATGGGGCGTCTACTGGAGGTAAGTGGGTACTTGCACCAAAATTATCGTAAGCATACGCAGGTGGTGGCTCATCTGTTAAACAAACAAAAGGACAGACTTTTCAGTGTTCATTAAATATCATAGCTTTTAACATGAGTCATAATAATCAAGGTTATATAGGTGCAGTAGTCTTATTGTTATGTATGTTATAGTAAAACATATATAGTAATGTGGGGTTAGGTGGTGTGGTGGTGTTATGTGGTGTGGTGGTGCTATGTGGTGTGGTGGTGTTATGTGGTGTGGTGGTGCTATGTGGTGTGGTGGTGTTATGTAGTGTGGTGGTGTTATGAGGTGTGGTGGTGCTATGTGGTGTGGTGGTGTTATGTGGTGTGGTGGTGCTATGTGGTGTTAGGTGGTGTGGTGGTGTTATGTGGTGTGGTGGTGTTTGGTGGTATGGTGGTGTTATGTGGTGTGGTGGTGTTATGTGGTGTGGTGGTGTTATGTAGTGTGGTGGTGTTATGTAGTGTGGTGGTGTTATGTGGTGTGGAGGTGTTATGTGGTGTGGTGGTGTTATGTAGTGTGGTCGTGTTATGTAGTGTGGTGGTGTTATGTGATGTGGAGGTGTTATGTGGTGTGGTGGTGTTAGGTGGTGTGGTGGTGTTAGGTGGTGTGGTGGTGTTATGTGGTGTGGTGGTGTTATGTGGTGTGGTGGTTTGGTGGTGTTATGTAGTGTGGTGGTGTTATGTGGTGTGGTGGTGTTATGTAGTGTGGTGTGTTATGTGGTGTGGTGTGTTATGTAGTGTGGTGGTGCGATGTGGTGTGGTGATGTTATGTGGTGTTAGGTGGTGTGGTGGTGTTATGTGGGGTTAGGTGGTGTGGTGGTGTTATGTGGTGTTAGGTGGTGTGGTGGTGTTATGTGGTGTGGTGGTGTTATGTAGTGTGGTGGTGTTATGTAGTGTGGTGGTGTTATGTGATGTGGTGGTGTTATGTAGTGTGGTGGTGTTTGGTGGTGTGGTGGTGTTTGGTGGTGTGGTGGTGATATGTGGTGTGGTGGTGTTATGTAGTGTGGTGGTGTTATGTAGTTTGGTGATGTTATGTGGTGTGGTGGTGTTATGTTGTGTGGTGGTGTTATGTGGTGTGGTGTGGTGGTGTTATGTAGTGTGGTGGTGTTATGTGATGTGGTGGTGTTATGTAGTGTGGTGGTGTTATGTAGTGTGATCATATGTGGTGTGGTGGTGTTATGTAGTGTGGTGGTGTTATGTGGTAAGTTGGTGTTATGTGGTGTGATGTTATGTAGTGTGGTGGTGTTATGTGGTGTGGTGGTGTTATGTAGTGTGGTGGTGTTATGTAGTGTGGTGGTGTTATGTAGCTTGGTGATGTTATGTGCTGTGATGTTGTTGAAGTGTTGTGCTGTGATGATGTTGAAGTGTTGTGCTGTGATGATGTTGAAGTGTTGTGCTGTGATGATGTTGAAGTGTTGTGCTGTGATGATGTTGAAGTGTTGTGCTGTGATGATGTTGAAGTGTTGTGCTATGATGATGTTGAAGTGTTGTGCTGTGATGATGTTGAAGTGTTGTGCTGTGATGATGTTGAAGTGTTGTGCTGTGATGATGTTGAAGTGATGTGCTGTGATGTGATTTAAGTCCAAGACTACAGTATCAGTATACTCACTATAGTAATTTGTTTGTAATTGGTTATACGATCCAATACCCATCACTTCTTCATATGAGGGTGGTTCTACCATTGGTTGTCCTGTCTGAGGGCTTGCCATGTTGAGGTTGTGTATCTACACAATAGAAAAATTGTACTGACATTAATGAAAGGCTAAACATTACAGGTGTCATAGTTACAGTTTTGTCTACAGAATTTTGGCCAGGGGTTCCTGAATTTTGATACTCAGCCTGTACCCAGATACTAGACATATTTAATCCAACATGAAACTCCCTTACATAGGTCTTTTAACTTATAAGTGAAAAGAAAATCACATGTATGTGAACTACATTTCATTGATGATATCGTTGTATATATTTCCTATTTCCTATATTGGGTGGTCGGGTGGCGCAGTGATAAAGTACTCGCCTTTCACCTAGCCGACCAGGGTTCGATTCCCGGAACGGACGTGGAAAGGTAAGGGGTCACTTTCCCGACCACGTTGGTGTTCCCCGGGTACTCCGGTTTCCTCCCACAATAAGACCCCTCACGCGCTTAAATCTGGACCAACATGAGTGATCAGTATAAGTTGACATAACTTGTTTCGCAATTGTTGTAAAATAAATAAAGTTGATATTTATATATTTCCTTGCATCAATCCACCGTTTTGTAACTAAACTATGCAATAAAAACTCATTTCGGGTCAAAAGTGAGTGGTAAGGTTGTGGCCAACGAGCTTGTCAACACATTTGTTGACTTGTGCAACAGAAGTAATCTCATGCGGACAGCCTCCTCTGTTATCCATACAACATTAGTAAAGCTTACAAATATATGTGTCCAACATGGATGTCAGTCTTCAGATGAAATACAGTTGTTCAAAAAAACAAATTCAAAACATTAATGCATGTGAACATATAACAGATAGATGAAGTATTATCCTTGGTAAATGAAAACTTAAGAAATGGGATACTTGAGACAATGTATTACTCATTTTTCACTATTGACACAGATGGGAGACCTTCTAACGGGTATCCAGTTACATACATTTAAATCCAGTTACCCCTCCAACCTGGCTAATGTCCAGCTGCTCAGGTACTCGTAAGTCATTTTGAAAAGTATTTGTAACCTTGAATGCAACCAAATACTCAAACAGAAGATATCTAACAGCCATTTGAAATTTTAAATGCATTCTTAACCAAATCAGTGAAATTTGTGTGAAATATGCAAGTCACAGACACAATTTATGAGTTTGAGTATGAGAGATTGCCGATGGCAGCAGTACTGGATATTGGAGACAGAACATTTAAACTTCAAAACGAAGGCTATAAAGTCACTTATACTTTGGCAAAAAAACTCTTCAGTTCGGTAGTATGTTTCATCTTCACAGGAAATTAACACACACATATATAACATCTGATTCCTGTGCTCCTAGTTAAATAGTTAAAAATGCACCAAACCTCTGTGTTAAGTGTGGATGCTGAAAAATTTAGATAAAAATTAATCAAAAGTACATTATGTAATGAAAATTACATTTATGTCAAAGGCGACTCACAGCAAAATCACATTCTAATGGTGTTTGTTACCATTGTTTCATGTCTTATGCTTTGCTGATGAGAACCCTCAAATCTGGTTTATTTCCTAGTCTGAAGGATGTTCTCGTTATTGCATCATAGGAACAATTGTATACTATAGATCGTATGGCATACGCTAACTAATTTTTTTCACAATTAATGACTTGCACGCGACAGAAATGTTTGATAAACATTAAATCTAATATCACAAATAAATGTCTTCTCTCTAGCTTATTTGGTTGATCATAAGACAAGTGGCTTAACTTCTCTGGCACAATGCATAAAAGGCTGGATTTTACTCAAGACTCAGCATGCCAGTTACAGTTGCTAGTGGCTCAACACAACCAGCCGGCAGAAGATCTCTCTACAGATGAGCATGTAGTAGGCACACCAGTGCTTGAACAGGAACAGTGCCCGAACACTTGTGATATTTTCCACAAAACCACCAATTTGACCAAACATGATGCATGATAATTATGGGGTGTATTGACATGTTTCTACCTCTAATATCTGACCCAGCAAGTGACAACACAGCTGATCCTGATGCACATAACAACTACCAAAATAATCGCCATTTCCTAAAAAGTTGATCAATTTCATTTTTTTACTTTCTACAAAATAACCACTGTAAAATATATCATTTAAAAGAAAAGTTTTGAAATCAGTGACAAGTATTATGGCGGAAACAGCTAAAAAACGGCTTTATGTTTGAACACTGGGCAGACGACTCTACGGAAATCAACGACGAAAACGCAATGAAATGTTTATCGACGTCTTTATATACTGATATACCAATCTGTCATTTCCCTATTTCCTGCTCGGCTATAAACTAAGTATCAAAGCTCGGCTCTTAATTCTGTAATTCTTTCAAATTCTTGGCTTAAAGGAGAACGGGTACTGATTAAAGGTAGAAATTGTCTGCATGGCAAAGGAATAACCCATTTTAAGGTTCATATTTACCTTGACAGGTCAGCTGCCGTACCTGTGTTGTTTCAAAACATCAACCTGGTACCTTCGGGTATTTCACAATGTCGATCTCAATTACAACCAATCAAAAATCGCGCATATTTTTAGATCGCCGCGTCATTAACTACCATCGGAACACATCGTGGCTTTACCCTAACGTAATTGTTACAAAAGTACCCGTCATTTGATCAAATGGTTAATAAACATATTGAATATTGCATTCTCTGCACAAAACAACTGTAATAGAAATCAATGATACATTCAACTTGCACTGCTGTTTCTGCAGCATAGACGATTTTCCTCAACAACGGTCAGGACACGTGACATACATGTACCCGTTAATAATTTATAGTCAGTTCTCTTTTTCAGTTACTAGTGGACAAGCCACGATAGTTACGCATTTTTTTATGTGATTTAACGCACACCTTGTGAACAGTTAACCATCCGTCTTAAATTACTCAGCGTTGATGTGATCGGGGTTAAGAGTAATGCTTTATGTTAGCTGACAACACTAATTTTAGTTTAATCAATATATGCCCTTATTTACATATTGCAATAAGTGTACCGACCAAGGGGTTCGTGACTCACCAGTACTTAAAAAGTTACTGTTGATAAATTAATCAAGATATGTAAAAAAGATGAAATTTCACGTATACTATAAATAGGCTATTTATAAGATATCTATTGTTTTTTCCAGGAATACTGACGCGATTTCGCGAGACAAGGAAAAAAAGTGTTTCAGACCAATCTCGCAAAACCAGAAAATAGACTAGATTATCAGAACCGTAAACCCTTAAGTTTGACAGTTCGGCAGTTGTCTTGCTCAGTGGCGTATGAAGCGGGCAGACATTATTTGTCTGTCGATGGTTTTGCATCTTGTGTTTATCAAGAAAATTAGCTGTGCGATCTCAGTGTGGCGGTTTTGTTACATTGATAAAAAATTATATTACAAATTTTGTATATACGACTGAATCAGTATGTGATTCGGTTGTCTGGTTGAAGATATCTAATCGTCAAATTAATAAGCCCAGGGATTTTTGTTTAGCATGTATTTTCCTGCCCCTGAAAATAGTGTTGGAATATATTATTCCTTTGATGGTGTAATGTTGGTGAGTGATTTTAACAGTCGAACTGGTAATCATTTTTTTTTTATTATTAAATGATTTAAGTTATTAACATATGTTTAGCTCTAATTGAAGTCAAACTTAATTATTCAGTATGTTTCAACAAATAAAATTTATATATTCAGTTTAATATCTCAATCATGTGAAGACAGGTTGTGAGAAACACAGGTAAATATCAGGTAAACATCCAGGTATGAAAAGGGCAGCTTATATGAAACAGTATGTATATATAATGACATAATAAGAGATTTTTACCTAATAAGCAGTAGAAATTTGACGGAAAAGACATAGAAGTGATAGATCAGTTCTGCTATTTCGGTTCGGTATTTAATTATAATGGTAAATTTGATGTTGCACATAATAATATTACTACACAAGGCAAAAAGGCCTATTTTCTACCTAGTTGAAAGATGAAAAGGGTTTTCTTGAACGAAAAGACCAAGTGGCATAATTTGATACTTATATATTACGTATTCTGACTTTCGGCTGTGAGGTATGGGGCTTCGACACTGCACCACAGAAAAAAAAAACTGTATTTAGCTTTCATGAAATCTCTATTGGGTGTGAAGAAAAATGTTAATAACTCTATGGTTGTTTACCATATCACGTACAGCGCAGAGTATTTATTATTAAATATTGGCTGAAACTTCTGAAGACTGATAACTGTATATTGAGGGCGTGTTATGATGAATTACCTAGGTTAATAAAACTGATGTTTTCATTTAAAACAGGAGCTTTATAGATTGGGTGTCGGTGATGTATGGTTGCCACAGCTGGTAATAAATGAAAGATATTTTCATTATTGTATAGACAACGTTAGATAGAACAAAGAATATTTGATCAGGCAAAGCAATTAATTATGAATTCATTGAGAAAATTCACTGAAATGCCTTATTAGTAGTTAATTAAGCTAGAATATATATTTTATCAAATTTTCACAAACTTCAAAAACAGAGAAGTGGAGCAATCAGATACTTATTAGACACTATCCTGAATTATCAATGTTAAAATATACTCAAACCATTCGCTGAAGTGACATCTTAGTATAGTTAAATGGTCAGAATATAAAGTATCCATCTTCAAATTAAAATTAGATACTCTCACAGACCTGAATATGACGTTATGAGGCGATGTCAAATAAAGCTGGCAAAAAACGACGTCATTTCACGTTACTCATGTATTCACCAACATCGCGCGTAACGTCTAAACTTTGATAGGAATATTGTTTGGTTTCATGGTGGTATGATAGAAAAATGAATGACCCCTAACTGACCTCTGTAACGTTAATAGGTATCAAATATTACTGTACAAGTTTATAGTTTCTGAAACATGAATGACACCTAACTGACCTCTGTAATGTCAATATGCATTAAACAATACTGTACATGTTTATAGTGTCATACGGATGATAAGCTCACAGGTAGCCCGTTAAGTGGATAGGCTGCAGCATATAAGTTTCT